CCCCCCCCAAGTTATTGAAAAGGAAATCGATTTTTGAAATTAAGGTGAGTTTTACCATATTGATATAGTTAGTATTGAAAGAACAACGTCCCCAATCCCCCCCACCCAACCACCCTACAATTTAAAACCCATTTTTGGTGATATTAAAGATGATGTCTCAATATAATAGTTATGCATAATTATGATCTTGTTCTTTCTCTGACATCCCCACCCCCACCTCTTGAAAATTCCAAATTCCTCTGTGGGGAGGGGGGGGGGGAGGTATGGATAATTTCTGGATTTACACATTGTTTTATTTCAGGGAGGCAGCACATTGCATGACTGGTGGAACCAAGAAGTGCATTGTGGTGTCAACCCTATCAGAAGCTGAATTCTATGCTGATGGAGGATACGATGACATTACATATGGTTTTCCCATCACGCCAGACAAGTTGCCACAAGCAGCAAGTCTAGTCAAGAGATTAGAAAAGTTTCATGTCTTTGTTGATAATGATGTCATTTTGAAAGCACTAGTTGACTTCTCCTTGCCAGAAGGAAAAAAATGGTCAGTGTTTTTGAAAGTAGACTGTGGAAAGGGCAGAGGTTAGTGCATTTAACTGCAATCTTGAAATTGCATTGTATTGAATCCTGAAACAACTGAAGCTTTAAGACTGAAATGTTTTTGCTGTGGAATTTTCATTTTAGCTGGAGTCTTATATGATGATCCTCAAGCCATAACACTAGCCAAGGCAATAACAAGTGAAACATCTCTGATGTTTGCTGGTTTGTATCTCCACTGTGGTGATTCGTATCGTGTGACTGGTGAAGACAGCATCAGAAAACATGGCAAAACTACTTATGAGAGAATTGTAGGACTTGTTAACAGGTGACATTATTATGTATTTAGAAAGAATTGTAACTATCTTGATTTACTTATTCTGAGAGAAGGATGGATGGATGGGATAAATGGATGCAATAAAGGAAGGAAGGAGGAAAGAAAAAAGGAAAAATTTACCAACAACACCTTTTTTTCTTTCTTTAATGTTATCAAAAATACTTGTAATAACCAATAAATATTTATCCACTAGGCTTAAAGAATCAGGTATTGTGTGTCCCACCGTGGGAGTAGGTTCAACCCCAAACTGTTCCAAGCCAATACCAGACATTCAGGGAATCACCGAGTTCCACCCTGGAAATTATGTCTTTTATGGTAAGAATTTATTGGCTAATAAATCTAATCCATGGAAAAATACACCACGTATATTTTAGGAATAGTATATTTTGTCGTTGTGGGTGGAAAAGACAAGAGAAATTAAAATAAAAAATTCTTGAAAATTTTCGCTCTTGTTCTTGCAACCCATCAATRATTGCCCCAAACGAAATTCAGGTCAAAAGTTCAGTCTTTTTGTAGTAATTTAAAACTAACCAGATATTATTGTGTCAACAGACTACCAGCAGACTTTAACTGGGTCCTGTAAAATAGAGAACGTTGCTGTCAAAGTCTTGACCAGGGTTATTGGAGTATACCCTAGCAAAGGGCAAATACTCGTAGATTGTGGATTCACTGCACTCAGCCAAGATGGAATGCGTAGACTACCTCAAGATAATTTCTGTTTCATTGATGGACATCCTAATCTCAAGTTAGTTTCTTATAAAAAAAAAAGAAAAACTGATAGTGACCAGTGGTTGCAAAATAGTTGGGACTGCGTTTGTGTGTTGAATACTACGTGAACAAGAAGGAAAGACTTATGCTCAGGTCAACATTGTAGCGTTGGGTTCATTTAGTGGTTAAGGTGGATTGAGTCGTGTGACATGAGATGTATGTACTTTGATGTTTGGTTTGAATGAGTTGGGTTGGGTAAGGCGGGGCTTTCCTCACTTCTAAAATTACTCTCTTGAACCAATGTGAAAATTGTATTTCATTCATTTCAACTTTACATTTTTTAACTACACAGAATGGTAGCCTTGACCCAAGAAATCGGTAAAATAATGGCTGCTAAGGATAACGACCCTATTGACTATTCTAAATATCCTATTGGTTCTTTTCTGTGGATTATACCATACCATGTAAGTATACCATTTAAACCAATCCGTCCGCGGTTGGAAGTTCATTCGTTGATGGTAAAAAAAGGGCGGGAAATCTTGACTTTCAAAAAAATGGTACACCCGTCTACCGGAAGAATCAGTAATGATGAAAAAGTAAATTATACACCATGAAAAGATGAAAAAACTTACTGACGTTTCGGACGCTAGTCCTTCGTCGGAGTAAAAGAGCCTCTTTTACTCCGACGAAGGACTAGCGTCCGAAACGTCAGTAAGTTTTTTCATCTTTTCAC